CCCCCCTCCAGCAAATGATGATGGACACCACCCCCCCCTCTAGCGAATGATGATGGATACCACCCCCCTCTCTAGCTGGTGATGATGGACCGCCCCCCGTTCTTCTGTAACAGAAGCACGAGCCTACTGCAGGTACTTTTGTGCAACCACCACAAAAAACTAGTTCACCTCCAACTCTAGTATTAGCCATGTCGACTCGCTCTGGCGTGGGGCAAATATCCGTTCTGGATCCAACCCAAACTGTCTGCTGCTGCTGCTGTAAGATCTAAACAAACGTAAAGCAGGAGGGTTGTCCACATAGACTACATCACCCAGCCCGTGATGAACCCGGTGCCGGGTGCGCAGGGGAGAGCAGAGAACACGCACACCGGAGCCGATTAAAACTGTTTTATGTGCTCCCGGGTGCTTGGTGTTGTTGTGTTGCGGTGCGTGAATGAAAGCGGGTTCGTCTGCTGTGTCCAACTTTTCGCTTTGGGAGGGGTTTCACGACTACACCTACCTTTGTGTGCGTGTGTTTTCGTCCTATTTATTATGGCGACAGTTCCCGCATTTTTCGTCGTGAGACGTGCTCACTTTTCAGCGTATGTAGAGTACTACACTTTTCAGTGTATTTTCGTACAACTGCAACCATCCAGGGTCACACAAGAGGGACTAAACACCAGAGCTTTTTCCTTCTTGTAATTTCTTTTCATACCCCACCTTCCTCCTGCGGTGCGTGCTGAATTTAATTCTCATCGCGAGAAGGGTCCAGCCGTCCCTTTCCCTCGTCAACAAAGTTTGGTACTCACGAGAGCTTGTCAACTATATTTCGCTTTCACCCGCACATTTCGTGAATTTTTCAAACCATGGGGGTTCGAACTGACGACCTCTACAACTAGTGGATTACGAGGATACCACTAGACCACCGGGGCGACCGGTGACCTGTACATATGATGATACCTCCGACCACATGACAGTAGACTAAGAGTTCTCTATTTCTAGTCTGATTCGTATACACCCGGATTCAAAAAAACATGAATGTCCACAGGATCGGCATTACCCCGGCTGCTTGTACAGCCGGTTGTCACTTTTTTGTCGGCAAAATCCGGGTTCAGCTTTTTGGGTTGACGCCGCCCAGCAAGTTCAGAGAGTTGTGCGCAAAATCAAGGATGATGGTGCCCACAAGGGTTCAAAATAATCCGGAGACATACCCCCCCAGAGGGGGAAGATGTTCGAAAAGTTACCAGGTGAATTGATTGTCGGAAAAAGTTACCTGCGTGAGGTGGGGTGGACGGCCAACATGCCTTGCTCGCGTTACCCGTGCTGCATCTGCTCGTCATCGCTACCGGCCCATGCTCACCCAGTCGTGCTACTACAGGAACACCCACACGGAAACTAGCAGCCTATGTAAGCTTGCGCGGCGCGTCACATCATCTTCGAAAGTACAGTAGCAGTATCGACCAAAGCTCGAACTGAGCCAAACAGCTCGGCTGACAACCTAACTAATTTGGAACAAGTCATTGACCAGGTTTCACAAGTGTTGCCAACAATCTATTGAACCACCTGCCTTGCACACCTGCACTTGCCTCTTCTAGCACTGCACCAAAGGGAGCATAGTCTCGCAACTCTACTCGTAGCCTTGGCCTCTTAGGGTTACGTTAAACTCGATCAACCTACGCCGCTTAGACTACTCATCATGCGGATCCCTGCTTTCGAGTTCTCGCGCAATATAGTCTATAGCAACGTTTTCTGCGAGCCAGTCGCTTCTTGCCGAATATGTGTTGCACGTGCGACATTGCCATCCATGTTGCTCTGACCAATCGGTCACACGGGCGACTGGTGGGCTAGCGGCTGCTCCTCGATTCTCATGAGGGCACGTGTGCATGAGAAGATCGCGAAGCCGGCACGGAAGTATGCGGGGTGTTTGCCTTCTGCGCCGAAGGTGATGCACACCGCGACAGAGAGAGCAGGACGCCAAAACGCCGACGCCTCGGCGGAAAACCCGGGGATATATATATGGTTTATGTCCCCGCCCTACTCTCAAATGACCCCGATTTTCGATATGTAGTCTGTTGTATTGAAATTTTTTGTTTTTCACGTGTACCCTTGGTGCCCAGCCCGATTTTCTGTCCAAAAATATCACCGCTGGTGAACAAACCCAGCCGACACAGTCGGCGAGACTCGGTGCGACCTGAGTTCTCGACGTGTCGCTCCCATCAAGAGCCCTGATGAGCCAACTCTACGCTGAAGGGTTTACTATATATATATATATTATATTTTGTTTGCCCTCCGACAATTGCAGATAAATGCAGACATTCATAAAAAGTCGATCGTAAGGCCGTCATGCCAAGCCAAATTAACTCGATGCCCAATAGCTAGGAATGTTTGCCTCTGAGTCAACAAACTTTTGTCGAAACACTACAGCTGAACTCTAGGCACGAACCTTAGATGGAGAAAAACGAACCAAACCCCAACCTCATCCACCCGAAATCAAACAATACTCGGCCCCGTCTTCCCTGGTACCCCTGACANAATATATCGGCGCGCAAAAGTCTGTGCGGCATTGCTGATCGATATTGCCACCGGTCACACCAAGAGAGAAACATCCGCCGTCTTGCTCTTTCTGAGGCAACCCCCATTCAAGCCCATGTTCCCCCAGACCCCCGACACTGCCACCCCCTGTTCCTACTTCCTTGCCACCTGCAACCACAAGGGCCAAGCCCTCCCCCCTCAGCACTCCCGACACCGTATCGAACAGAAATCCGCTTTCCACCGAAGTGGTTAGGTTAAAGCTGTCGCACCCATATTTCGGCGCACAAACGTCTTTGCGGCATTGCTGATCGATACTGCCACCGGTCACACCAAGAGAGAAACACCCGCCGTCTTGCTCTTTCTGAGGCAAACCCCATTCAAGCCCATGTTCCCCCAGACCCCCGACACTGCCACCCCCTGTTCCTACTTCCCCGCCACCTTCAACCGCAAGAGCCAGGGTCCTTTCTCGTCGCACTCCTAAGAAAGACGCCAAAACAGTCAACGACAACAACTGGGCGCGGAACATGTGCATGCCGCCGACGTACGTTCAAAGGTTTCTACTCAGTAATGATCTGCTATTCCTTTGACGTCTGTCAATCTTCTGTTCAGGTTTCAGAGATCTTCCAGATGCTCTTTGCACCCAATCCCGCTCTCGGTACCTCGGCTCCGTCTGCTGCTGCTGGACCTAGCGACCGCCTTGCTCGATCTCCAATCGATCACGGGGTCGCGAGCACAGTTCCGTTCGGGCCTCCACGTGTGTGTGTGCTCCCAGCACGCGTGTCTCGAAGCTTCCTTCTCCTCGGCCCCTTTGACTGTTGCTTCCTCCCGCTGCTGCTGCTGCTGCCTGTCCCCTGATCTTCCTCTCACCACGCTGAGCTGCTCCTGCCGTTGACTGTTCTAGAAGCGAGGCTGCAGGATCTCCGATCGAGCTTTTGTTTGGATCTCTCGAAAACTTCTCTCCGGGACCACGTGTGTGCGTCGCGCACACGTGTTCCGATGTTGCCCTCTCGTCGGTACGTGCGGCTGCCTCTGCCGCTGCTGCTGCTGCTGCTGCTGCTGCGTCCTCCGCTGTGGGCAATTTGCGGCGGGTCCGGCTTGTACGATCTACGATCAGTGGATCGTCGCCGCAATGGACTGACGTCAACAAGCTCTCACCTCTACCAGCCCCTTCACTGCTACCTCTTATGTTTCCCTTCTCCACGATATCTCTCCACGCTCCTCCACGCGGATTTTCCTCTCTCGGTGCCTGAACTCTTTTTCCTCGGAAACCTTCCAGGCGGACTTTTTCGCACAATCTCCGATCAACTCTTTTTGGATCTTCCGCAAAGCAAGCACGTCGACGGGACAGGCACCATCCTGTGTGTGTCTGTGCACACGTGCCACCACCGCACTCCGGTCGATGCTGTCTGTGCTGTCGTTTCTGTCTCTGCTTCCCCCCCGCTGTGCTTGTCGTCGTTTCCTCAGCTGCTGCCTGCGGTTTTTCAGCTGCTGCAAAGCCCGTGTAGCCCGACCCGTGCAGGATATTATGCACGATCTTTGCTTGGATCTTCCCCGAATCGATCTTGACCTGACGGGGACACGTGTGCTTCTACACACGCGTCCCCGCCACACACACTGGTAGCTGTCCCGCACCCGAAGCCGAGTAGGGTTTACTATTCTGCACGCTGGTTGTTGTTGATGGTCGCTTGGCACGCGTGCGACAAAATGCCATTCCACATCACACCAAACATCAGGGTCACATATGTAGGAAGGGGCAAAACACCGGGGCTGTTTCGTTTTGTTATATACTTTTGTGCCCTACCTTCCTCCTGCGGTGCGAGCTGGATTTTTTCATTTATCGCGATAAGGGTCCAGCCGCCCCGTTCCCTATTAACGGTGCTAATTACGTCGCAGTTTGGTTCTTACGAACCTTTCAGCTTTTCCGCGTTCACGCGCAGTTTTTAACTTGTGATTTGTGTTGAGGAATATACGTCCATAGATTGGGCTGCCCTCGGTCATTCTCGCCCGAATTCGTCCACCGGGTTACTCCCCAACCTGCCCGCCAAATGTTTCGCCTTACCGTTGTTGCCGACGATGGATGCCATGGTCACGGCTGACGGCACCCTGTCTTTTTGCCGGCTCTACTTCGTACTCATGCGGACGTCGAGTGATCTGGTTTTAAGTCGAGCATGGGGAGAAATGGTGTTTCTTCCCTTCGCTTCTTGTTTCATTTCACATGCATCCATGGATGGACTTACCCATCATCTTCATACCGCCCCCAACTACATCATCTTCGACCCCGCACATTCATACCCTCCCTGGGAAACACGCGAAGGGGCTTCACATGAGACCGGGGCCATATACCCTCGGGCTATTATTTTAAAAATAAGTGTATTTTAGCCGGTCGCCCCGGTGGTCTAGTTGGTATCCTCGAAACCTTCTAGGGGTCAGATCAGGGTTTGTTTCGGATCCGGGCATAAGCGAGCTTTTCTTGCAAAGTGAGTTTTTCTCTCGCTTCCGCTCCTGGCCGAGTGGAAAGAGTCGACCCCACCTTTAAGGACGCTCGCGTTAAGGAAACTCCCCGCTTAAAGGAAATTTGTGTAGCTGAGCACGGCGGGCCCGACAGAATACACGATAATGGGGTACCCCCATTTTTTCTGCCGCGTACCCCCCTTTTTTTGTCCTGCGGGCCGCTCTTTGCACGAACCACGCACCACAGTGAGTGCTGAAGTAGCGACGCACAGACAGCAGAAGTAGCGAGCGGTCTGCTGCTGCAGCTGCAACTGGGTGTTAGTATTGATAGATTCCTCCCATCTACCGGCGGTCCATCTGATGCCGCCAAACAGCGAGTCGTGCATAACTTCGTCCCTCACCGAGGGCGAGGTTATCTCTCGCTTGGAGGACGTTCGATCCTTCAGATAGCGCCCGCAGTTAATAAACGTCAAAATCGGTTCGAGCCTCACCAATCCCTTCTTTTGGGTCGGAGTACCGGCCCAAGACGTCAATTTCGTAAATGGCATTGCTTCTTCCTTTGGACTGCTGTCGCACCCNTTAATAAACGTCAAAATCGGTTCGAGCCTCACCAATCCCTTCTTTTGGGTCGGAGTACCGGCCCAAGACGTCAATTTCGTAAATGGCATTGCTTCTTCCTTTGGACTGCTGTCGCACCCTCCCGATTCTCTTAATACTTAGACTACAACGAGTACTTCGAAATTTCTTTTTCTGTCTTTTGATCTCTGAGGACAATCCACATCATCAAGCCCTCAAGAGAGGTGGTG